TGCCGGCTGGGTCTGCCGCCTCCCCCGCCCCCACCCAGACACGCCCCCTTCCCACCCGCGGGCTGCCCCCTCCCTAGCAGCCAGGCACCACGTAGATCCCTGAGTGGTCAGGGGGTCCCTCTTAGAGCCGGGTCTCCTCCATGCCAAGGCCCCTGCTCCCTCTGGCTCTTGACAGGCTTTGGGCCCGGGAAGTCCGTCATGTCGCTGATGTTTTTCCTCAGCAGCAGCCCCAGGCATAAGCGCATAACAGTCATCAGGTCCGAGAAAGTGCCACCGGCATAGTGGGTCTAATTTAGCTTGTCGGTCAGGTTGAGAATCTTAGTTAAAGTATTTTTAAACCACCCAGTTACAAGTAAGTTCTGTTGTAATATTCAGAATTATAAACCTGGCTCCTTAATCAAAAGGGAAGATTATCCTAGGGAGGAGAGGACAATCAGGAGGCAAAGAGAAGGAAAATGATGAGACAGTTTGGTGAAGATTTGGGACAGTATAGGGGTCAGAGGTTTTATTGCGTTCACACGTTTTAATACACATCACAATCTATGGTATACTAAGATGATAAATGTTATCCTTTAGGTTAGGGGTACCTGAAAAACAAGTGTTTTAATTTTAATGTTTAATCTTACAAACATTAAGGGTTAGGTCTCTTCTTTCACATTTCCTTCTTTAATCAGTACAGGCAGTCCCCGAGATGCGCTGCAGTCCCGCCACCCCCGTCCTCCGGGGCGAGAAAAGCTGCTCCCCATCTCTCTGGTCTGCAGGGAGACCAGGAGCAAAGCCGCGGAGCACGCCCGCAGCGGGCGTGCTCCAAGGCTTTGCTCCCCGTCTCCCCGGTCAGCAGACCAGGGAGAAGGAGCAAAGCCGTGGAGGACGCGGGCGGTCCCGCCACCCACGTCTCCCTGGTCTGCTGGGGGGGGGGGTGCAACTAGTGCCCTCCCTTCCCCCCCAGCAGACCAGGCTTTTCTTGCCTACGCCTGGGGCAGAGCAGATGGGGTGCTGCTGGTTGCTCCAGTAGCGCCAAGGAGCGGC